AGCCCAAAGCAGTGCATAAAATCCGAGGGCTTTTTTTTTTTAAAAATCACATCCCCAACAGAAGTATGCAGAGGCAGTGCAGTGCAGTGGTTAGAGAGTCTTGGTAATATCTGGGGCTTAGACCAAGTGGTTGGTGTAAGGTGTGTACACACGGACGGACGAGGTGATTCTAATGGTACATCTCGGAATGTGGGTGGTATTCTCCCAGCGCGGAGAATGGGACTGGACCGCTATCTCATTAAAGTAAACTTGGAAAGGAAACTTTATCTGTCAGTAAAAAATGTAATCGCTCTTTGCCCTCCTCTCCTCCCTCCCCTCTGCTTATCTTTTAACAGTTTGTGGGCCAAACATGGATATCCGGAACAGCGTGCAGCAACTGAAACAGCTGGAGGACTGCACAGTGATCGAAGGGTTTCTCCGGATTTTGTTGATCCCCCAGGGCGAGGACTTCAGCTCCTACCGCTTCCCCAAACTCACCGTCATCACCGACTACCTGCTGCTGTTCCGCGTGGCGGGTCTGGAGACCCTCAGCGACCTCTTCCCCAACCTCACGGTCATCCGCGGCAAGAACCTTTTCTACAATTACGCCCTGGTCATCTTTGAGATGACCAACCTCAAAGACATCGGGCTGTACAACTTGAGGAACATCACCCGGGGGGCCATCCGGATCGAGAAGAACTCCGACTTGTGTTACCTCTCCACCGTGGACTGGTCTCTCATCCTGGATGCGGCGTCCAACAACTACGTCATAGGGAATAAGTCGCCAAAGGAATGTGGGGACCTGTGCCCGGGCACGGCGGAGGGGAATTCGCGGTGTAAGACGACCTACATTAACGACGAACACAGTCCCCGGTGCTGGACCTCCAACCACTGCCAAAAAAGTAAGAATTGAGGGTTTGCGGTGTCAAGGATTAAAGCTTGTGTTATGTTTTCCTTCCTTAAATTATTTCCGGAAGACAGTGAGCGTTAGTACCATCTATTTCATCCCCCCACACCTTCGACAGCGCACATGCTAGTGGTGACTTTATCTCACTGTGGTGCCAAGTAGCAGTTTAAAACCATTATTTATTCCAAAATATGCTTGACGGGTCGTGACTGCCTGTTGAGTTGTTTGACCTTTTCTGAAAGGTGGCTGGTCCAAATCCTCCGCATGATCCAAGTGGTGAAGCTTTTGGTTATGTCGGAAATCTGTATGCTGCTGTTCCAGACTTGCTTGAGCTGGCTTAGACTGTACCGCTCTGGAATCTCCGAACGCTCTCTGATAATGAAAATGCCACGCATGTGGGGGGAAACAGCGTTCTCAAGGGCTGACCCCCCCTCCTTCCTGATAAGTCGGCGTTGAACATGCAGGGAATTTTGTTTTGCTTCTTAGGAGATACAAGAAGGGGGACCCGCGATACTTGCGGGGGGGGGGAGGGAGAAGTTCCACAAGAGGAGAAGGAAGCAACTGCGGGTGAGCCTTCTCCTCTGCCCCCCCCGTCCCCGGCACCCACGGCGAGGCCCGCGCCCCTCCAAGCCTTCTCCCTCCTCCCCCCCAGCACAGGCGGCGAGGCCTGAACTCTGCCCGCCAAGCTTTCTCCCACCCCCTCCCTTGGCGGCGGCGGCGGCGAGGTCTGGCTGGTCGGCCGAACTTTCTCCCTCCCCCCCCCCCCCCCGCGGGGGGGGGGCCCGGCCGGGCCCCCCCCCTCTC